TGGGTCACGTGAACACGACACGATTGCTATCCCTATTTAAAAGGTATTTGAAGCGTTGAATCTGAGATTTTTAAATTATCAGAGACCAGATTCAACCATTAAACTACCCATAAAGATTATCGCAACGTAATTTATTTTAATGTACTAGCGTATTCTCATATTTGATATTGCATTTAAAGTTCTTATTTTAATTTTTTTTGGTTGATATGTTACTACTACAATATGCTTACATTTCACCTTTAACTCGTTCATACAACATAAAATACTAACATACAATTACTCTATTATAAGTACAGGTAGTAATTTTAATATATTATCCATTAATATGTCCAATTCACTCATAAACAAATGTGTTAAGTACCTATATTAATTAATAAAAATTCTAAATGAGTTGGGTAATATGATTCATTTTAATTAAGCGGGCTAATATAGATTATAAATAAATACCAATTAAGTTGAGTATTTGTCTTTCTATTAAATAACACAAGTAATAAAATCAATAAATATACCAAAAAATAATTAAACTCACTAATACACCAAATAATACACGCATATATATATTAACATACAAAAACACACATAATATCACACAAAAAGCACACCCCATTACCCCCGACCCGACCCGTGAGTTCATCAAGGACCCACGCCCATTGAAAACTCGTGACCCAAGACCCATGGCCCACAGTCGTCCTGACCTATTATGTGTGTATTTTTCTTTATTTTTTATTAAATGTGTTTTAATTTTTGTGTGTTTGTATATGTGTGTATTTTTTGTGTATTAATGTATGTGTATTTTTTGTATATTAATGATTGTATTTTTAGTGTACTACTAACGTACGATGTTTGTTGCATGTAAAATTTTTTGTTGTAATATTTGATAAAATACATAAAAAAATTTAATTATGTAAGTACGTTAGATATTATCTAACATTTATCATTTTTAAATTGTTTGTATTTTCATGATAATTATAAACATCTAATTGATTCATCTTCTATGATTCTTTCATTTGAGTTACTAAGTAGTAAAATTTATAGATTTTTTTTTTATTTTGTCTTTCTTGTTTTTATTTTATGCATAAATAATTTTTTACTAATTTATTTTGATTGTGAATAAAGAGATAAGATAATTATATATATTTTTTTGGCATTAGTTATGATATTGTATCAATAGAGTTATTTTTTGGAAAAAAAAATAATATTATTTTTATATATTATGTTAAACATAACTTGACCATTCAAAAGTTTTATAAAGATAGATAGATTTATATGATATGCTAGTTATTAGTTTGTTATTTAAATATAAAGGGATATAATGATAATTTATATATTTAAATGCAAAATGATATATTAGCTTTTATAGTTTTTTATAAGGGTAATAGTGAATCAAAAGTTTTTCATGTTAAAATACTTTTATTAGTAATATATATATAGATTAGTATGTGTGTTTTTGTATATTAGTATGTATGTGTATGTTTGTATTTTGGTGTATGTGTGTCTGTTTTAGTGTACTAGTATGTATCTATCAAGAATTTTAATTATTTTATAGGTTAATGTATTTAACACAACCTATTATAACTCATTTAATACATGAGAAAAAAAATAAATTAAATTTATTTTAACACAACCCAATTTAATTTAATCCATAATTAACTCAACTCACCCATTTACATAACCATTGTGTAAGCGATGAAGATTAGTATAAAATAATGTCCTCCTCAACGGTCTAGTTTAATACAGATGAAAAACCCATAGCACAAGTCCATGCATGTGTAATATCTTTAAAAATTTTGTTATTTTAAGAGTGTTTTCACCATGACACTCAAAATTTAGGGGATTCTTGTTTGTTTTTTTTTCCCTAAAATAATGGATAGTGCGCGGAAGATTTTCTGCAATAGTTTGATATAGCGGCCTTCAGCCTGAGAGATCTGCAACAATCACAGGGTCAGAAAAAAAGGGTCAGATCAACACTCGATTTATTTCCTCCGAAACTTAAATCAGTGTAAGATTGGAGGCTTGAGCTCAATGTATCTTGTATCGTGGTTTTAAGTTGCATACCTTTGTTCATTTTTTTATAGAGTATTTATACCTATAATAGCAATGAGTGCAAAGACTTCAAGTCACATCTTGACATTCAATACCTAGCGCCTTTATCCACGATGGTCTGAATTTTCTCTACCTAGATCTTCACATATTCAATCCTAGGATGAAAGGACAAGTGCTAGGGGTGATTCTCGAGCACTCAAATACCTATGATCGACACCTATCACCTACTGTTGTTTAATGCTCGGGAGGAACAGTACCTCGAGGGTACATCGAGGATATGTACTCGGCGCAAGAACCATTAATGTCTAACTATCATGACCGTAGGCCTAGGCTTTGAGGGCGCAGGGGCTCATTAATGACACTGTCTCCATCACTCGCATCGCCAAAAATAAATGGCCAAGTTGCATTAAATGCGGGTGTCAGCTTGTGTTCTCGGTTCTTCCGAGTCGTCATCTCTGGGCTCCGCTCCTCGGCGTCTTTCGGACTCCATAACGGTTGCAATTTTACACGTGTCAATCTGGGGGCTACTGAGTCGCCTAAAGTCCCGCCAAATAGTGATAATGATTATTTTTCTATTGTAATGAACACTACTAAAAGGAGTAAAGAGAGAATTGGTATCCAAATTTGAATTAGTAATGGGTCTTTACAAATACTTAAACTCGTAGTTAAATTATTAATAATAATTGATTAGGTTAAAAATTTGGATCAAAATTTTAACTCCAAATAATATTACTTTTCTTTTACTAGAATAGAGATTTTATTAAAGTTATCTAAAAATATTTTTTATTTTAATTTTTTTTATAAGATGCTTTCTATTTTAATAAAAGAAAAATCCTACACAACTTAAATAAAACCCAAAAAGTACAACTCAAAACGCATATTATTCCTTAAATGAGTATTGAATAAGTGTAGGACTGATAGTTGAGTTGAGCTACTCGGGTTTAACTCGGATATGACTCAACTCGAGTTAGACTTGTGTTCTAAACGAGTTGATCTTGAACAATTTTTAACACTCGTTTAGAAAACGAATTTAAAAAACTCTGCTCGAGCTCTATTCATTTTCTAAACGAGCAAAATTTGAATAATTTTTTAGGCTCGTTTAAAAAATGAGTTTGACAGATTCAACTCGAACTCGCAAAGCTCGGCTTGATTATAAGACTTATATGAGTGGGTCATATTAAAAAAGTTGATAGAACTTACTCATCTAAGGGATGATATGCATTTGAATTATAATTTTTGAGTGATTTTATTTGGGTCGTATAGAATTAATAAAAATATTTTCTGAAAAAAAAATAAAAATTGGACACACTTAGACCATTTCCAATGGAAATTCAAACATTTACCTAAATTTGAGTAAAAAACTTGATTTAACATAAACAATTTCAATGAAAAAACTCAAATTTAAAAAAAAAAAACTCAAATTTAAATGAGAATAAATTCAAATTCAAATTTAAATGAGAGTAAAATATGACTATTAAATATTTAAAAGATGATGAAATCACACTATTAAAGATTTAGGTATGAATTTGAGTAGGAATAATTAGGTCAGTCAAAGTCTGATACAACACGATTAACTGACATGAATTAAACAGGTTTGAATGAGACATTAATGAGTTCGGGTGATGAACAAGTTGACCTGTCAGACACGTTTAATTAATAAGTCGTGTTCGAGTGAGTTCTGTCAACCCATTTATTACTTGTTTAAATAAAACTGATAAAATAATAAATTAATAATTATTTTTAAAAAAATTAGCCAAATTTTTTTTTAGTGAGTCATAAAATATATTATAAATTATTTTTAGTGACAGCCACATAATTTTTTTTTAATTTAGTGACTGTCACATAAAATATAATAATAAATTATTTTGGCTTGTAGGTTGTACTTTTGTAATATGTGATATTTCTAAATATAACATTTTTTTATATTAATTTTATAAAATTATATAGCATTTTTAAACTCCACCGGTAAATGGGTCAATCGGGGGGATTTACCGTGTTAATTTGACCCTACCCAAAATACGATTCGTTTAAAACTAAATAGGTTAAACGAGTTGTGTCGTACTTCCCATTTATTAAACGGTTCGTGTGTGTGTTGAGACTTTTCACCCATTTATTAAACGTGTCGTGTATGAGTTTACATATTTTTTACCTGTCACCCGTTTAACTTAACACGTAATCATTTAACCCGATACGTTTAGCACCCTTAAGAATGATAGTGGAATAGGGAAGGGGGCTGACGGAGTAGTCTTCACCCCTATACCCGCTTAAAAAATATTCGTCTATTTCCAATCTAACTCGATTAGTAGGGAAAATGCTAATTCTTGTCCCGCCCCATGGATAAATTTTGATCCCAGTATTCGTCTCCCGTTCCCACTCATAACAATTAATTTATATTATTTTAAGAATAAAATTAACAAAAAATTATAAAATTTCTCAAATTGATTTATAAGAAGGATGAAAACTTATTATATACTAAATGAATCAAACCTAAAAACTCACAAAAAATTATATTTATAACAAATATGTGTTTTACTTAATTATTTTATTTTATATATTACAGGTTTAGCAAGCACAGAGAGGGGAGGGGCAGAGGCAGAGGAGAGTTTTAGTCCATTCTCGCCTCTATCTCCACACGAGTTTATATGAGTATTTTTGTATACGTTCATCATATAATACGTATAATTTATCTTTGGTCTAAATCGGACAGATTTGAACAAATACATATTTTTTTCCGGTTCATTGTCATTCTTAAATTTGAGCCTCCCTTAATTTAAATTAAAAAATGTGTTTTTTCGTTTAATATTTTTAAATGTTAAAAGATTTTAAAGATTTTTTTTATTTAAATTTAAATTTAAATTTAGATTAAAAAAGAATAAAGATCGGAGATGCTTTTCCCGTTTACTTTACGTGATTACAAAGTTGATTTCTCAAACCTGGCAGTTTGGCATATGTTAAACGTTTGATTCCAGTATTCTCCTCCAACAGTTGAAAAAAAAAAATTCTCCTCCACCAACAAATGTCCGCGTTTGCTTTTTCATCGAATCTCAACCAAACTTCATATCTAAACCCCAATCGATCAATTCATTTCTCCCCCACTAACTCAATCATCCCCAATGGCAGAATCAAAGCCAGACCCATCATCAAACTCTTCACCAGGTACAATACAATCTCTCCCTCCAAGAACTCTAGATTAGATTGCCCATAATTTTGATCTCCCCTGATCAACTCTTTCTTTCAAAACCAACCCTTTATTGCTAATTGCATATATGTGTAGCGTGCATGAATTCTAAAACTTGAAGAAAGGAAGTGGGCGAACTTAATTGGGAAGGCAAACGTAATGATGTTAAAAATCCGACCCTTGATTGTCCATAATTTGCATTCCCCAGATCAGCAATTTTTTTCAAAAACCAACCCTTTTGTGCAATCCAATCAAATGTGTTGTGTGTGTGTGTGTGTGTGCAGGCAAATTTTCTGATATAGGTTATATATGTAATGTGGGTGTGTGATACTTTGATGGTATTGGTGGCAGATAAAGGTGTAAAAGCACCCAATTTGTTCGAGAGGGCAAAGGAAGAGATTGATGCAATGTTGCATTTTGAGAGGCGCTCACATCACCACCACAAGGAAACTCATGGACTTCGCAATGATATTGATGAGAACACTCCCATTACAGATCTGAAAGCTCCAAATGTGTTTGAAAGAGCAAAGGAGGAGATTGAGGCTCTTGTTCAGACAATTCATCCCAAGAAAGACTCTAAACCTTCACATGATGAAACAAGGTTTGGAAACACTTGACAAAAATAGGATTGAGAATTGACCCACAAACTTTTGTGGGATTTCAGATGAGTTTTTATTGTTTTTGCACATGTAATTGCAGGGATGCTTCTACAAAATCAGGGCCAAGACCAGAGAAGTCAGATTCGCATTCAGGTTAAATTTTTCATTTTCTTTATCTAAGATAATTTCTTCTGACCTATAACCATAATTATTTGATATTGTGATTGGTTTATCATCATTCTTATTTCCTCATATAAGAAAACCAACCCTTTTTGTGTAATTCGATATTTATGTTGTTTGTTCTTTCATTGAGACTTATGGATGGACACACTATAGATACAAGCAATTATAGTCTATAGACCCAGGAGGTTGGCTTTTTTTTTTTTTGGTTGGGGGTGGGGGTGGGGGTGGGGGTGGAGGTGGGGATGACAAATATAAGGAAATGGAAAGAAATTTGGGGAAGGGTGAGAAACTCTAATTCTGAGGATTACTTGGTGAATACTATATCCTACTTAGATACTTTTCAATCCTTACCCTTCACCTTTACCCCTGGTTTTATCGTTGCATTCGGGCAAACATTGCAATTTTATTGTTGCGTTTGAGCAACTTTGCACTATATAGCAGAAAACTATGTTAGGGAGGAGGAATTCCTTGGGGCATGAAATATTTGAACATCCCTCCCTAGAAGGAGTGTGCAGGAGGCTTTTGCAAGCCAAATGTAAAACTTGCATAAGAAAATGAATAGAGATTAGTTGCACTTTAAGGTTACCTCTCTTATGGAGGCACTTCCATTCTTGTTTCCGGCTCCAAAATGTTTTAAGAATGTTATCCAAATTTGTGTTGGTGGCCATTGTGCTAATAATGCATTATTGACCATTTCATAAATAGAAGAAATGGAGAAGGAAGAGTTAGCCCTATGTTTGCTTCCAGAAAGCCAATAAATCTGGGGCCAACTGTTATTCTCTGTCTCCTATTTTTAGAGCTTAAACAAAAACTTGAAATGATGACCCAAAAAAAAAAAAAAAAACTTGAAATGCATGCTTTACTTAATGATAGAAGGATCATGTCATTTGTTCCCTCGAATGCTTTAAAGGTTAGTTCCAAGATCAACCCTTCAAGGGCTTAATCCATAGGAAGCTTAAACCACCACATGAAACATAAGGACCGATCTCAACAATTCTCTGCACTACCAGTATGTCTGACAATGTTGTCTTGGGTTTCTAAATCTCTAAGTCGTGTTATTTCAATTTGCTCAATCCATACGCTACCCTTTTATAGTGTTGTGTATAGTTAGTTTTGTATCGTGTGTAAGTCTTGTTTAATCGATTTCCTATCGACCCTTTTGTTAAACAGGTTTGATGGGTCAAGCCATTTATGAATTGACCCGGTAAGTTTAACTATGCCCGTTAACTTTGTCCAAATATCATGTTAACTCCATCTTAACATCATGTCGGGTGGGCAACTGAACTGCCTACCCTAACTGCCAGATTATTAAAGCATTGCTCCACCTGTGAATGATCCTTCATAAAAGTTCTACACTCTTATTTTCATGCTTGAGCTTCGATGGTTCGAATTTATAACCTAGTTCATGTTCTGTTTTTAAATTGGCAGGGAAGGATGCAAAGGCACACAATCTAATCGAAAGAACAAAGGACCAAATAGAAGGAATTATGCACAAAGAGAAAGTACCACACCATAATCACAAAGAAACTCATGGAAGGAGTGATGACATTGATGAGAACACCCCTATTGAGGAAATTAAAGCCCCAAATGTGTTTGAAAGAGCAAAGGAAGAAATCGAGGCCCTTTTTCAAACAATGCATCAAAAGAAAGAGTCCGGCAATGGTGTTTCCTCAGCTAAGAAGGAAGGTGGTAAATTCACTATGTCCATTGGAAGAGGGTTGGAAAGAATATGCTCTCCTCGGGGTCATAACAAGGATCCACATAGTTGAAAGGTCCATATCTCCTTTTCAGTCGTCGTCATTCCATTGCCAGCTTGCTTGCTTCTTTTTTTCTGCGTGTATATCGGTTAAAAATTCTAGTTTTCCCTTTCAATTATTGTATATTACTTCATGATGAAATTCTTATGAAATTGTGCTTAGTTGACTGCATTGTGTACCAACCTACCGATGACATGAATCAAGCGTAGTACTGACAAAACTTCAACTACTTGAAACTCTCAACAAAAGTTCAACTACTTGAAACACTGATCTATCAAACTTTAAACATATACATTGCATGAAATACAGACGTATATACAACCATCCTACTTATAAACTTGTAGGCCAACAGTAAATTTGCACATTGTGAGAGGCGTAAGCCTCTACAGGGATAGACAAGAGGAAAGGTGGTACTGAGAATAAACATAGGAGTCAAAAGAGCAAAATCATATTTTCATCGGGGTTGGCAAGTTGTTGGCTGCACCTACGCATGGATGAACTTCAGTGTCTATCTTATGATCTATCTGCAGCTCTTAGTCTTCTCTTCCCTGTTATAGAAAATCAAGTAACATGAATTATCATTACAGGTAACATAATTCACAGTTACCATAGTTGGGTATGTATATAGAATTGTTGTAGGATAGTAGGTTATATGAGATTCCCATCACCATAGTCTTAACCATGTGGAAAGACTGTTTTTGTGACTCGAAACTTAATGTCACTATGAAACAATTTTCCAGCTATGCCAAAATTCATGTTTAATGCTATGGAGAAATGAGCAAGATTATACCGATGACATTATGGTTTTGACTCGGGACAATCCACTTGCTCCCCCAGATTCACATTCATACCCCAATCGGGTGCCCTTGCAATCAAATCTTCCAAATCACAAACAATCTTGGACTGGTGATTGGCTAGTTCTTTTACTGTGCCGTCCTCATAAATCAAATCATCCTCCATGAGTTCCTCCCACAGCACAAAATTTTCAGAAATCGAATCTGGACTACTAATCCCCGAGAATTCGTTGGCATTGTGGTCCTGAACAGGGCTGCCTGAGTCATCTGAGGAAAACAGTGTCTGTATTTCTGACTGGAATGTTGTTAACTCTTCCTGAACTTGGTTCTTGGCAATGGTATCCATGGCCTTCACCAAGCTTTCGTTGCCCGGTGGCGCCATCAATCTTCGTTTCTTTGCAATTTCAGCGCCACCCAGTTCAATCTTGTGCCTCAACTGGTGGGAAAGTTGGTGAATAAAAGTTGGGTTCCTAAAAGCTCTGGCCATAAAGAGTATCATCTTTTGCTGCTTACATTCAGTACTTTGTACATGCTCTTTCACAGTGGCCAAACAGCTATCTGTGCTCTCTTGTTGCTGTTTAAGCTTCAGAATTTCCATTTTCAGTGTGTTCTGATCATTCCTCAGTTTCTGAAGCTCTGTCTCAACTCCAAACTTTGTGGAATCAAGCTGCCATTGTTGTGCTGGTCCTTGAAGCTGCATGGTTTGGGGCTGTTGCTTTCTCCTCTTGATGTTCTTCAGCAAATGTTTCTTCCCTTTTTGAAACCCTTCATTGGAAAATTCCCATCTATCCGAATTGATCTTTCTGAAACGCTTTAACAACCCCACCAGGAAATGACTATTTAAATACAAAGGTATTTGGGAAATCCGGATACAATAACACTCCAATGCAAAGTATAAGATTACAGAAGGTTCCATTAGGCATTAAAGAAAAAAAAAATTGATAAAGATACACACATACGTGCATATAGAGTAGAGAAATTAATGAATTGTAGATTGATACTGACATAGGTGTTGAGTTGGCGAATGAAGCTGGAGAAGTTGTTGTGTTTGAAGTGTTTGGGGAGAAGATATGTAGAAAACTTGTGAGGGTCCCAAACAACGAAGCTGGTACGAGTGGAACTCCATGATATTACGGAGTCTGTTTTTGGGTCATCCACCATTTCAAAGGTCTTCTTCAAGAAGGGTGGTGGACCAACCTCATGTATTCCTTCCATTGGTCTTGGAAATGAAGAAAATACATCACCACCACCACATCCTTCTTTACCACCAGAAGCTCCACCAGTACCACCACCACTAACACCTTCAATAGTGTCATCTTCATCAAGAACTATTATGGGCTCTTCCTTGACTGTAACAGCTTCAACTGTTTTCCTCCCCTCTAGGAAACCACCTCCCGCACCACCACCACTGTCATCCTCAATCACAGTCATGCTTTCCTCTTTAACTGTCACTCCTGCCATGAGTGCTAGAACCTAGATTATGTGTGTTTAGAGATTTCCAAGTGATTATGAATTCACCACAGTGACCATGGGAGGTGTAGTTTTCTAACAGGAGGGCTCATGCGTATAGATTGTATATATGTTGAGAGAGAGAGAGAGAGAGAGAGGGGGGGGGGGGGGGCTGTGTGTTGATTGAAAACTTCCAAATATGGACCGAATGTCATGAATAGCATGCTATTTGTAGTACTTAGCGGCACCCAAAGTCTTGTGTTCTCATTATAATCTGGCCCCTCAACTTTATAGAAACTTGTCTAGGACACCACTTACTTTTGTCAGTATTCAGAATAGGACCACAAACAAAATGCAACATGTTGCAATTCTATGTACTATTATCTCGACCTCCAGGAGAGTCGCGATTATATCCAGCCGTCCAATGTGTTGTACATCAAAAATTGATCCAATGTTTTACGGTCAAGAAGGAATGGTTTCCTTGGCGGTTGATCGTCTGCATGCGTGCCACGTGTCAACATATGTTGCAGCAAAATGTCTGGTTGAGAGATTTGGTGCTTCAATTTGACCGCTGCCTCCACAACCCAAAGACATCTAAGCACGTTGGCACCGCCATGTGAAGGTCAGGCGGTCACTATTGGACCTGTTAAAATTTAACACGATACGATTAATTGATACAAATTGACATGAATTAAACAAGTTTGTGTGAGATTTTAATGAGTTTGAGTGATAAACAGGTTGACATGTCAAATACGTTTAATAAACTGGCTGTGTTCGGGTGAGACCTGTCAAAATTTTTTATTACATGTTTACCTGTTTAAATAAAATTAATATAATAATAAATTAATAATTATTTAAAAAAATTAGCAAAAAAAAAGAAATAAATAAATTAATAAAAAAAGAAGTAAAATAACAATTTAAGAACAAAAGAGAGGAGATGAGAAACACTTCAAAAACAAAGACAAACAAATGTCTTTTGTTTTGTCCCACATTGGAAAATGAGGAGAGATTGAGAGGGTTGAATTGCCTATAAAAAACAATGACCTTTTGTTTTTTTTTTTTAAGCCTTCAAATTTTATTTTTATGAGATTTAGCTAGAAATTTATCTTTCTGAGGTAAGTACAATTGACAATAAAAAAAAGTGGAGTATTAAAATTTGTTAATATAATTTTTTAAAATTAAATGGGTTAAATGAGTCGCCGTGTTACCCGTTTATTAAACAGGTCGTATTCGTGTTAAGATTTTTTACCCGTTTATTAAATATATTGTATACAAATTTATATATATTTTATCCCTCGCCGGTTTAATTTCGCATGTTTGACACGCTCGCAAGGTGAACCCAATGCATGGTGTTGGTGGGTGGGTGAGACATTGTTTTAAAATACTGTCTGGTCCCGTTGACAAGATGTGTCAATTTTAGACCATTTTAACACGAAAACGATAATTTTTTTAATGCATGCATGAGAGAATTCGATATATATAATTCAATTTTTTGATGCACATGTCATAATAAAATAATTTTATTATTAATATGATTATAAAGTGAATTAACAAATAAATTAAATGTAACGCCCCAAATACCCCCTCGAACGACATTACATTCTAAAACCTTTCACAATCATGAGAGCACTAAATAAATCCATAAATAAGAAATTTTTATCCATCAACTATTGATATTTTAACAAAATTCGGGCAGAGTCTCCTTTGTACGGGGAGCTCTACCACAAAATCCAACCTGTGCAATTCTACTATAATGACCACACCGGGTCCAATTAACTACTATATAATCAATCCATCAAATTTACATGTTAACCCAAAAAATATGCCCACAATGGCATGTACATTCCCAAAGAATTAAACTATGATAAGCAGCGAAATTTCAAAAGATAACTAGACTTTACAATCTTTCAAAAAAAACATAGCCTAGTCTAGAACAAAATAGAAGGGCCGCTCTAGGCGTCCACCTCGGGATCTACGCTCCCGTCGATCGGAGTCTCCCAAAGAACGGGCTCCTCGACTCCTGGCTCCTCCTCAAGGATATAGTCTGAAAAATGTTAACAGTAGGGGATGAGCACTAGGCTCTGTAGCAAAATCTTCCCAACTCCAACAAGGTTTATAAAATACAAAACGGGTCGGTCACATTTCATAAATAACATATATGAATTTGAAGTAAAACGGGACATTTTAAATAGATCTCAAGTTTAAGCCATACAGTAGTTAAGGAGAGAAATAAATTAAGTTTAACCATAGCAAACCATTTTCAACATTAAGTCAATTAGGAGGGGCTCCCTCCGATGCATCGTCCCATACCAATGCACCGGCCAAGCCATTCCAGCCAATCATCACATTTATGTTGGTTCATCCCCGTACCATGTATGTTGATTGTTTATCATGAATCTACCCAACGATTATACCTAGTCCACCCATTTATAATCACAATCACAAGTACTTAGGGAAGGGGCGTCTACCATCCCAATGGCAGTGACGAGTCCCTCCCCAGGAATGGTATACCAACCCTAGTTCGAACTCCAGGCGTACGATAGTGGTCGCATTACCAAATGACAACTCACTACAAGTGCAAGAAACCATCTCCCCCCCCCCACTGGGTTCAACTGACATTTACACTCTACGGCATATCTCGTAGGTAATCCAAGTCCCTCCCAACCACCATACAATGAGTAAACCAACATATTCTCAATCAATTCACATTTTACCAATTAATCGCAAAATACCCAAATTTCACAAGTAAAGCGTCATAGCAAGATGGAATTAAAATGAGCAAAAGATCAATATAAAGATCATTTTCGTTGAACAATATCGAACACTAAATTTATAAAGTGAGAACCAAGGCAATATATGGAGAAAACTCAATTTTTCTTAAAACCAAGTTTGGAAGATGAAAAAGAGAAATTTAATGGTTACCAAACCATCCCATTATTCA